AGGGAGTGGCGCAAGAGGAAGCTAAGCTATTCGTTCGATTCTCGGGGGACCAACATCTCAATTAGCTCGCTTGCCTACGAACTACCATTCGCCTCGCGTTCGCGACTCCAATGAAACGCGATCACGATCCTTCCGTTTGACCGTTTGCTCGCTAATGGACGATTAATTTTTTACAGCCGTTTATAAAGTTTCTCGACCGAACTGTTTCCTGCGACGACACAGGTTTCTATTATTTTTTTACCTTAGACCCGGGGAGAGTTCTGGTAAGTTAATCTAGCCTTTCGTCGAATTTTACGAGGTTCGGGTCGCGACGGAAGCGACGTTCGAACAGAAACGCTCGTAAACGCTTTAATTAATTTGACGCGGTTCAACTTTACGGGCTGGCAGTCCACGAGACTCCCCATTTTCCAAATTGCTCCTTATAGTAGCTTTCCTTGGTACTCGCATTCCTCCGCCGTTCCGAGATCTTTTCGAAGAATGGTCAACTCCAATGGAATCTCCGTCAACGGCCTGTGTAAATGTTGCCATTCGTGCGATATTTTTTTTCTCTCGGATTCACCGTATCGACAAAAAAAATACATCTTTTTCCCCCGAATCTTGAGCACGAACAACGTAAGTGAAAGATCAACCGAGAGGGTGGTGTACAGCGTCGACGCTTTCGATCGCAATTACGAAATACGATTTACCGTGGGTGGAGTAGCGATAAAATTTAAATTCACCAAACTCCCCGGAGTGTCCTCTCTTTTGCGAGGCGTTCCGTTTCGTTCCGAACGAAAATAAGCGAGAGCAAGGTATGGCGGGGAGCACCGAACGACTGGTACACTCGAGTCGAGAGGGGAAAAATCTTTGTCGCGGAAATTCAAAGGCATAAAGTGTCGACGAAGCGTCCTGGGAACGCCATCGTGCCGACCCTTGTAAAGACGTTGAATTTTATGAAACGTCGGGGGGATTCGGCGAAAATATGTAAATACGCAATAAAACGTAAGCTCCCGGTGCTGCTTCCGTCGCGCCGCCTTCTTCGTCTTCTTTCTCTTCCTCTTCTTTTTAAACTGTGCGCCTCCAGACTGCCGGGAACAACGCGAAATTTCCACGCTAGCCGACCGCTACACGCCCGATTTCGTCGAATCTACCTCGAAATCGTCGACAAAGACTCGTGTGGATTCATCGGATACGCGTTACCTCGGTAAAAACTTGCAAGAACGTGGGAAAATCTGACCTGAAACGCGAACTGCGCTTTCCGATTCGGTGAAACTGATCGAGTATAGTTGATCTTGTCGAAGAGCGAGACGCGTCTCGAACAAGGATCCGAAGAAAATTTCGGTCGGATATAAATATCGCTTAGGGATCTACTATTTATCGTATAAACGCCCTTGGGAGTCGCTCGTTTAAATTCTTGGTTTTTTTCGCGTGTTAACGGCAGCCGCGAAATGACGCGACGCTCAACAACCAGTTAACCTCTTCCGAGGCTGTGCGACGCTCGTACGGCAAAGGTTCGTCAAATTTTCGCGTAGCAAGCCCGAGGGAAGGGCAGATGAAACGGAAGAAAGAAAAGAAGGACAGGAAGAAAGGAAAAAGGATCATTCGTGGATTCGTTATAATTTCATGCCGGTATTTCGCGGATTTGCCGACGATTTAGCGTTCGCTTTTTATGCGACGTACACGCGTTATTCTGGCATCCAGGAATTTTTCATAACCGTCGCGCGTTTCTTCCCTCGAAACTCGCGCGTAATTAGATTAGTCTCGCATCGTTTCTGTCGTCCTCGCCGTTGTCGTTATCGTGATCGTCGTCGTCGTCGTCGTCGTTGTCGTTTTCGACGTCGCGAAATTGCGCGAAAATAGAAAGACAAATACCGTTTGGTTTTAACCAAACGACCATTAAATTAATGGCGTCGGCCGTCAGACGCGTTGAATGGTTAATATCGAATCGTTTCGAAATTAAAAATGTTTCAAACTTTGCCTCGAATGGTATTTAGAATATTTCAGCTCGGAAAACGTGTAATTTGTGTGGCATACTATCGCGAGTAATTGCCAAGTCGCTTTTAGCGATCGAGTATTGAACGTAACTAAAAACGCGTATCTATACTACGTAATCTCGCTTTTTAGGTATATTCGTTTATTTATTTCGGCGGATATTTCAATTTTCCGCGCACCGATTCGAGAAAAATTTGTTGATCGTGAAAGGTGAAATCTATTTTCAATCTTTAGCATCTCTTTAGTTTCGTAACATAGGTAAAGTTAGAATACAGAGTTTCTGTGCTACCTATTTTGGAGTGGAATAGAGTAAATAAGGATGACGAATACACGACAGCTGCTGTCATCGAGTTAATTAAGCGCCTAAAAAGTTCGAAAATAAACGAATCCGCATATGTATCAAGGCTATCGAGTTTCTTAAAATTCATCCGAGAATAGCTTTAAAATCTGTTCGAGAGTGGCTTAAATTTCTCTATTCTAGATCTGGATAGTACTTCCAACAACGAATTTCCCGGCAACCGGATAACCATGACAGCAATAGAAGCAGTTTACTCAGTCGATTTTACTTATTTACGCGATGTTTCTACGTCGCTGGACGCGAAAGCAACCGCGTGGCGACCATCGATCAGCCGCGAATAGCAGGCTCCCCTTCTCTCGCGTGTAGTTTAAATACCATAGAAGCCTTGAAAGCCGTTTCGATTAATGGAATTCCGCAACACGTCCGCAATTAACCCTCAAAGACCCGAGGCGCTGGTCGAAACGTCCAGCGGTGTGCTAATGGCGAACGGTGCTCGTGTCGCATTCGAAACGCATTTAATGAATTCGTTATCGACCGGAATCAACGTTTGCCTCCGCGTTACGGACACCCCCACGAAGACGCGACACGACGAACCCTGGAATTTCGAAAATTAAACTCGGAACGTAGAAGAGAAATAAATTGGCAAATCCAAGGGATCGAAATTGAAGAAAACGCGGCGTTGTCGACGAAACGGTAGTTCCCGAAGTAACGAGAAACGAATGCGGAGCCTGTACCGTGGACGGTCAAAGTTGCGCGAGCTTCCTGTCAAAGTTAGAACTGTTTCGAAACTCGTATCCCCGGTGTCGTATCGTTGATCACCGCAACACGGAAACGAAAACAGGCGTTTTCATAAATCTTCCACGAGGAGGAGGATTGAACGCGCGGTCGACCGTCGACGTAACGATTACGCTTTAATCGTTCGCGGACGCTGCGTGCATCGATTCGTACGCGAGCCCGTCAGATACCCATGCAAATTCCACGTTTCTATCCACGAACGCTTTCGAAGCCGGTGCAAACGGATTTGCACGGCTTTTACGCGCTCGAATCGAGAAACGTAACGACTCGCTTCGTAACTTGCTCCGTCCAACGCGTATCCGAGGCGACCAACCTCCCCACGATATTTTCGTCTTTGTATATTATCGTCCGGATTAACGGTATCCACCGTAAACCCGTTACCGACCAACCTAACCATGCCAAAGGGAAAATTATTACGGAAACGGGTTCCGTTTTAATTGATCAGAGCCACACCGCTCAGAGGACGTGCCCGATATATTTCGTCAAAATTGGAGCAGCTTTAACGAAGATTATTGCAACGACACTAATCTTCCGTGTAATCGTCGAGCTTCGTGAATTATTCGATTTCGGCGACATCGCTTTGGCGTCCAAACGACCAGACTCGTTCGGATGGCGGACTTTCGACTCGAAACCGCGCTTCGTACGTAAAATACGTTCGTAAACGGTAAGAAGACGAGATACGAACGGAGTTCGGGTCTCTTTAATCTAGTTTACCCTTTTGAAATCTACATAATTCCACTACGAATTAATATATCGTTTTCGCGTTTACGCCGGAACGGGAATACGTACATGGTGAAATCAGGACAAATCAGAATCTACGATGTAAGATTTCCGGTCTCCTATCGACGATAAACAGGAAAGAAAAAAGTCGTTCAAAATGGACCTTAGGTCAGATACTTGTTTCGGGTGTCCGGCAGCCGGATAGAACGAAAGCAGCGGACCGAATCGAATGGAAACTCGTTTCTTCGAAATAGCCTATCGGAAATTCCCTATCGGAATCACCGTTTTCGTTGCGATCGGACTCTCGAGCTTTCCGCTTAACTCGCTCGAAGGATCACCCTCTGCAAGCATCGCGACCGCGCCGATACTCCGGAAGCAAATTTCATAAACGAATCTCTTAATCCCGTGCTACACCGAGCACGCTTTACATATCGTAACCCGACATCGTCTTGCTTCGGCTGTGCTTGCATTCGAAATATACGGATTTCTACTATCGAAACTCCCTCCTACGGATATCCCTCGTAAGACCAAACATCCGAATTTTTCGTTTCACCAAAGAACCTACCTTATTTCCCAAGAAAATTTGTTCGATTTTTCAATTTATCTGTTATTATCCAGCGAATGGATACCGAATCGAGCAGCGTTGGAAATTCCTTAACGCGTTTAATCGTTTTTATTCGTAGTTGTTCGATATTTTCGAAACTATTCGGCCATTTATAAAATCGTTTAAGAGAGAAAAGCAACGGATTTACGCGTCGTCCGATTCTTTGCGTCCGTCAGCGAAGCCCTTCGAGTTAGCGGTACTTGGATCAGGGGCCTAAGGGACGTACAGCGATAATAAGCGCTGTTGATACGCTTAGCACGAGCGAAACTGTGGAGGGTGCTATCCACCGAGACTCCGAGTACATTTCGTAAATAACGGATTCACCGTTCTCTCTCCTTCCTATTCCTATATCCATTCTCCCCTGTTCTAGGATCGCCTCGTCTCTTCGTACGTTTCCTCGCGGATCCATCCGCTCGCAACCAATTGCCACCGTAATGTCGCCTAACAACCGCTCCTCCGACTTTACCTAATTTCCGAGCAACGATAGCTACGAACACGGTTAAACGCGTTTCCGAAAAACATTTGTTAACGCTTGTTTAAAACACATGGAGCATTATCTTCAGGTTAACTTTGTATCGTCGACGTTAACAATTTCTTGATTTTTCTTCGCAGTTCCATTGGTAAACATCAGCGTCGTGGAAGGAAAGCCAGCGGAATTACCATGCGACATCACTCCACCGGGAGAGGACACCCTGCATATGGTGTTTTGGTTCAAGGACGAGGCCGGCGTACCCCTTTATACGTGAGTGACACTTTTTTATTTTCTGCGTCAGCCGGATTCCACGCAATAATTTACGCGTTTTCGTCGCGAGACGTTAATTTATGCGATCGACTTAAGGTGCGCGTCAAGAACGTATTTTACAATTGAAATTCAGGTTTCATTTCTTTTTCTAATCACTCATAAAACGCGTCGACAAACGTGTAACTATTCTCCTAATGTCAGTTCGAACGATAACATCCTGTAATCGTCGAAACAGACTTCGTTGGATTCGTCAATCTTCTGTCATCGCGTAACGATGACATAGATGCCTTTCGCGTAAAATTGCGCCAGCTAATTGCTTCGGTTACCGATACTCTTCGAAAGAGACGAACCGGTATTTGTCAGAATGTCGGTGTTTCATCGGTATCGAGAATTTAGTTTCTGGTAACGATCGAAAAGAGCCTTGGTTAATGGCCAGTTACGAGCATGTAGAAGTGGCGAGATTTCAGCAGGGAATCGTTTATTAGCTGTCGATGGGATAACGAGCATTCCAGTTACGTGCCACTCGCTCTCGTTATCATACCCGTGTATCATCGCCGAATTCTACGCTATAGTTTATATCTTGAACTTTCGCAATTATAATTCCCGAGGAACCGCGACGTATATTACGGTAACGCAGCGATACTGCCCTATGTATCAGCTGTAAATTGTCCTACCGGCTCCGCGTGGTTGCAGTAAGTAACCGCGCACGGAGAATAAAGTTCGTGCTTGAAAAGCGATAGGGAAATCTTGCGAGACCATCAGTCGTTTTTCACCGTTACGGAATTTTATTAACATATCGAGAGGAAACATTTTCACCGGTTCGCCGATTAAACGAAAAGTTTAATGGCCGAAGTAATAAGATGCCGTAACCGAGGGGAATTCTGCTTGTCCGTTAGCCGTGTTTCAATAATTCATCGATAACGCGACGAAAATTAAGTGGAGGAAAACGAATCGGAACGAGCGTCGTATCTTTGATGCTTGGATACGAGACGAGTAAAAACGAGGAAACAGATAACCGAAGCTAATCAACGTTTAACGTTTCTTTAACCGTGTTAACGTCTCTGAACGTCGAAATTGCAACACCTTTGATCGGAAAATCAAGCGAAAGGTGAAAACATCGTCGAAAAGAAATTGAATTTCAGTTACTCCGATCGCGATAAGACATCCTCTTTGAAACGTCGAAACAAGTAGTATGTGATTCGTTTCGCTTCGTCTTACTCTTGTTCTCCTTTTTCCAAGTACACTCGGAAAAAAGGGTCGGTGCATTGGTATACACCGTCCGTAGACTCGCGACCGAATTCGGATGAACCCCGATCGAAATTTCCAGACACGTATTCGAGCGTCGAGCTCGTTGCGAGTTAGAACCGACACAGAGTGGACCAGCACTCCGACGTCGCGTTCGCGAACGCGTTTCGGTATCCTGGATGTAAGAACGCGGTTAGAAAAGTAGGAAAAGAACACGCGTCGTAAAGTTCCGGTTACTTGGAAAATAGAGATCCAGGGATATCCCTCGTGGGGATCGTACGTTATTAGCCAGCCGGCAATAAGTTTTCCTTATTGCCGCGTAAACGATGCACTAGGTGGCTGGACGCAGAGCCGCTGCCGCACAGGGAGAGCTTTACAGGCTGTGCTTCGGAGCCGCCGCGCAAATAGAGAAATTAAAAACAACTGTCCAATTTATCTTCTCCAAATGATTGTAATTAATATAACGGACCAAGGGAACTACCTCATCGCGCAAATAATAGATAATAAAGGAAGATTAATTGCTTTCTTGATCCGACGTTTCGACCGTAATTTAAAAGCCCTCTTCAAAACGTTGGTAATCGATTATTAAGTTGCAGTAAAAACAGGGATTACGAAAATAACGTGACGGAAGAGAATCGGGGGAACGGCACGTAGAAAAGGGTGCTTCGAGCGGGTAATATACAAGCGCCATTTTTAAAGTTAAGTATCGTCGAGCAACGCGATTTAAATGGAGATGGACGAGAGACCGTAGTCGTGGACCTCCGCAACACTTCGCCCCTATCTCTATGCTTCTTTCTTCTCCTTTCTCTATTTGTGTTTCTTGTATTCCGCAAGATTTCTTCTCCCTATCCTCTCCGCGCTTTTTCTTCCTCTCGATATTTCAAACAATAATCCCTCCTCTTAAACTCCCCCGGCAGACTGCAACGACTCTTTGTCCGAATCCTTTGCCACTGTGTCGGTCGACGCGTCGCGACGCGACGAAACGAAGATAAAATTCGTGAAATTTCTCTTTCCCGAGAGCGTGGCGCGACGCGACACCTTCGTAACAACGTTAGGTTAGTTTTTCAGCGTACAATTTCTTCCAAATGAATTCTATCGTGTCTATATGATCCTTTGAATCAGGGGAATTTCCACCAGTTTTCGGACGAATCTAACAAAGCCGAGTGATCTACGCGATTTTCCAACGGGCTCTCTCTCTCTCTCTTCCGAATCGATTCTCCCGTGTCCGTTCGTGTCGCTCGAATGAAAAGAAAGCTGCTTTAGCTAACTAATCCGTCAACGATTCGAGCAGAACCGAATTAACGAGACGGTTCTCCTTTGGCTATTTTTCTTGCGACTAATCGTATCAGCGTTCCCGTCGAATCTCTCGAACGCTCGAACCGTTGAAAGTATTGCGTTACAGAGAGCGAAGCCCACCAGGAATATTCGTCATCCAGCCGGTAAATTACAATGCGCCGTGTGCAGTTCATTGTACGAGTGGATGCGTCTATATACCCGCTTTATTACGTAATTTCAGTCGGCAAATTATTACAATTCGTCCCGGCGGTTTGCACTGTTAACGATGTTTGTATTATACGCGTACGTACATAGGCGTTCCGACAGCGGAACGGCATTGTACGCGCGAACGAGAGAGGCAAATAGTCCAATCGATAGAAGCCCACCTTTGGTATTCAAATCAAACACTTTGAGCGTATCTACATTTATAAACGTCTATCATCATTCGTTCGATAATGAATCGCCAATTAATTACCACGTAATCAATGGGAGGCAGGGATTGGGTATGGGTTCTGATACCGAAAGTAAAACGGGTCAGTTAGTGCTTAATTCGCGTTCGATGACTCCGCGAACGTGCCATGATTTTTAATCCATGCCCACTTCGTTTATACCTCGGTGTATGTTCCTGAATGTCCTCTCTATTCGCCTTTCGAACGTTCTACACCGAATCACAAATAGTCATTTTCGCGAAACCGTGTCGAAAATCCTAATAAATACGGATAAAAAAGTTTTGATGGTTCCGTACAATTTCGAAGCGTTACTACGTATTAGACGGCACTGATAAAAGATAATTACATACTTTTAGTAATTTGCATTGAACGAAAGCGTCCGATGTATTAAACAGGTTGCGAATGAGATGAAATAATAACGAGGTAAATTTCACGATGCAGTGTTGTAATAATTATTAAATTTCGTAACGTGGCTCACTTCGAAACAAAACGAGATAACTAGTGAAAATTCGCCATAAAATTATACGAAGTATTTTCAGCCGATGAAATCGAACAGAGAGAGTAGTAACAGGAAAAAGATAATTAATGAGCATAACTAAACTCCACAGAATCAACCAAGACGAGTATAATGAACAAAATTTGTATTCCCACTCCGTAATTCATCTGTTTCGAAACGGGTACAGGGATTTTCAAAAGCAGTCACAAAAGGTGTAAATTTGCATCAAACAATGGTTGAATTAACTCGTCCCGTATCCGTGTACGCGTTTCTGGAAGTTAATGATTTTCGTTGTTAACGTTGACGCATATATTCGCGTAGAGCGATTCGAGGATCAAACTCATCGTGTACGCGCGCGATCGGCGCGACGCGTAGGCGCGTTCGACGAATTAGCCGGTTGCGAGGGAATTTTTGCTCGTAAAGAAATGGTATTTGCGAGTGTTAACGAATTCGCGAAGGGAGCGAGACTTCATCCGAAATTCTATCTCGCGAGAGCGGGGGCCTCGAAATTGTCGCGAGCGTTGATGGCCTGCCGTTTCCACGCGATTTCGACTAGGGAAAGGAGGACGAAGAGATTCGCAATCAGGAGGATCTCCGCTGGTGTCGCTTGACACCGACCTACCGACCGCAGCACTGTCAACCTACGTAATTAATCCACGTTTCAGCGAGAAAGCTATGCTCGACAGCAGCCTAAGATTTACCGCAGTCCAATTTTACACCTGTCCGTCAGACGGGTTCGCGACCGGTTACCTTTCGTCCGACGAAATTAGCCCATTCGCTAATTATCCGTCGTCCTATATCCGGAAACGGTTATTCCTTTATCCGATATGAATGGTCAACGCGAGAAACGATATTCTTAGCTCGCCAACAATGTTACATCTTCGACCATTATAATCTCGAACAATTATAATCTTGAGTACTGCTATACTACAGGACCAGACTACTCTGGAAAATCGCCATCCTACCTATCATAAATTTTTCAACCAACATTTGTTACGTTTATTCCCGCTATGGGTTCCTCGATCGGGCAACGTTGCTTAGAATATCGATGAATCGAATGGTAACGTTCGTGCTTGGCTGGGTCTGGTACCTTCGCCAGTGTCGTCCATCCTGTATTAATCGAAAATACGAACAAGATCACAATATTCGAGTATCGACCTGCTTCGCGATACGTACAGCGAAATCGGCTGAAATTCGTCGCGATATCGGACTGGTTCACGTTGCTCCGTGAACGTACGATCGGAATTTTAAAGACGGACATAAATTCCACCCGTTGGCACACTCGTATAATTCTATACCTCTCTTTTTCCTTAAGACGATCTTTTACTCGTCTAGCTATTACGAATTACAGATCGGTTCTGATCAACCTTAAAGGAAAATATCGTGAAAAATATGAAAATTTAACGAATTGGCTCGGTTGTTCGCGCGAGAAAGAGAGAGAGTATATTCGGCATGGGAAGTCTCGTCGATAATTCCGCAAATACCCAGAAACTCGCATGTTTTCCGTATTTGTCACAGATGCAGGTAACGCAACG